GATTATCTTCTGTGTCTGTGTTAATTGGTTTCCCTTTTCTTTGTTGAAGAGGGTCTGTGCAGTCCTTGTGCCTAGTCTGCCATCTTGCCAGAACCTCTCCATTTCAGTTTTTACACCTTCCAGTTCTTCTAGATGCATCCCATGTTCTGATTATTAGTGAATATGTGCAGCTGTTTCTAACCATTTTGAGTCATTCACCATCAGCAAATGAAGATCTCAGAAGCTTTACTCCATCTGTGTCATTAAGGTCAACTCTTACTTTGAGGAGGCACATCTTCCCAGTCATAACTGGAGTGGCTTCCAGCCTGAGGAACATAAATTACAGACATGACAAAATCACATATGTGTAGAACTGATTAGGGTTTTGGGACAAGCAATGGGATGAGAAAGGGAGGGGGATGGGTATGACTATATCTATAAAGGTGTAGCACAAGGTTGATCTGGGTGGTGATAACACCATTCTGTATGTTGATTTTAGTGATAGTTACATGAATACACACACACACACACACACAAGTGCATGTGCGATACATGAAATCTTGATATAAGGTCTGTAGATTATACTATTGTCAGTTTCCTGGTTTTTATATTATACTATGGTTACATTAAGATGCTTCTGCTGGGGAAAACTAGGTGAACAGTACATGGGATCTCTCTGTACTATTTCTCCACTGTCTTATGAATCTATATTCATGCCAAGATAAAAAATTTTAAAAGACACAAAATCTTAGTGTGTTATGAAACTCAAATTAGTAACAGCTATTGTTGCAAATATTTAAATGAAAATTTTGAGTCAGTAATCGAATTAAATATGGGAAAAGGATGAGAAATGAGTTGATTTTGCAAATCACCTGATTGTGATGTTTTCTTTAAGTTTTATCTTATTCTTTTGATTTGATAATTAAAATATAAATAGCATTACTTATCAGATTCATGTATATGGACTGTGCCTTAAACTATATATATGTGTGTCTTCTCTGCTTCCCTCTGATTCTTTTTCTTAAGTTTTTTTTTTTTTTTGTCCTTTTGTTAACTGATTTTAATACAGCAATAATTGAAACATTGCTCAGTGCCGTGAGAAAGTCCGTCACCTCTTAACTCATGCCACTGTATCTTTGTAAGTCAATAACTTACAAAGATATTCTGGTACTTTTCACATAAAAATAACCCAATTGTTTTCTAGTATATAGGTTGTCTTATTTAGAAAATGTACTGTTCATACACTAACAGCAGATACCAGCTTTGTGTTATGATGTTCATAGATAGAATCACTGTATATCCTAAGGTGAAAATGAGTTACCTGAACTCGAAACTATTTTATATCTGTATGTATCAACTTTAAGACTTCAAATAGGTATGTGGAGAAAAGCAAGATTCATATTTTCATTCATATCAAATGTAGGAAGTCTATATTATCTATTATTCTTATTGAAAAATAAAGTCTTACCTTTAGATAATAATAAAAAAATTCCAAATGCTTGGTTATTTGAGTTTTATATTAGATGTACAATTGTCTGATAACATGATTTTAAACACAAATACCTACTCAACCTTTTCTTTTTCTTTATCTTCAGTTTACTTGTCAACTTGTTGCACCAATACTAGAGAATATAGTTTCATACATGATACTCTTAATCAGTGCAGGCTTGATATAAACTGTGACCTACAGTCATCATGGCAATTTGGGGATACAAAACTGGTTCACAATGAGGATCTGGAAAAAAATTTTACTGTTAAGAGGTAAGTTTGTATGACTTACACAAGTGTGAGGTATTTTTGTTCATATTTTGTGTTTATACATTTTAAAAATTTTTACCATTTGAGATTTAACAAGTATTTCAAGAAAAAATAAGTATGGAGTTATTTATCCACTATTTTGTTATTGCCTCATAACCTTCTGTAATGGTGAAAAGCTAAGGATGAGATTTGATTGGTATATGTTGTGCATTACTGTAGTCAGATATCAGACACCTCCTTCTAATTTCTTAATTTTGATAAATTCCTCAGAAGCATACATCAACACATTTATTAAGTTGCCTTGGATCTCTAGGATAATATAAAGCAGTAGTTAAAGTAATCAGAAAGTAAATTTTCTCTCTTAATCCAACCCTTGAGAGACAGAGGTGATTTGAGAGAATTTACCTGGCTGTTCTTTTTAGGTTGGTGCCACTATTTCTGACACTTAAATTTTTTAAAATATGCCTTCTACATCTTGGGAAACAAGACTGATTACAGTGTGTTATTGTAGTAAGAAAAAGAATATATACAAAACTCTCTTTGTAAAAAATGTTTATAGGTATAGATGTTGTATGAATAAGCTTTAACATTTTCATTTTCTAAACTTGCCTTCTTTACCATTTTGTATTTTTAAACTTAAAAATTAACCAAAAGGCCCACAGTTAGAACTTGTGTAGGAATGCTTTGGTTTCTTTTTTGTTTTGGAATCAATTCCTCTTGACTCAGACATACTGCTTCACTTGGTGTCAGTTTGGAAATTTGAAATTAGGGTGAGAGAATGACAGAATTAGCTCATATTTTATTTCTTCCCTTTAAAAACCACAGGTTTGAGGACAGATAGAAAGGACTGGATATATTCTACCACTTGCATACTGAGAACAGTTTGATCAAAATTGAATTGCTGGCAAAAAAAAAAGGGGGGGTGGCGGAGATTGCTAGTATTGTTCCTTAATTTTGGTTCTTTTAGGCATTTTGAAATTTTGTCCTTTTTCAGAATGCTCCCTTGCCCCACATAAAATTTTCAGCAATTTATTTCTCCCAGTTAGTCTTGAGAAAAGTTAGTGTTACTCAATAATTGATGTATTTGAGCTGGTATTGTCAAACTGATAGTGTAGTGCCTAAGGCATTTGACTGCTAATCAGAAGGCTGGTGCTTTAAATTCTCCAGCCACTCCTCAGAAGGAAGACTGGGCAATCCATTTCCGTAGAGATACTGCCTCAGAAACCCAACCATGATAGCAGTGAGTGAGTGTGCCAGAGGAGTGAATGAATCTGTCTTGGAAGAAGTAAAAGTCAGAATGTGCCTTAAAAGTGAGGGTGGTGAGATTTCTTCTCCCTTACTTTGGACACATCATGAGGAGGAACTAGTCCCTATAAAAGGACATCATACTTGGTAGAGGGTCAGCAAGAAAGGAGACCCTCAATGAGATGGGTTGATACAGTGGCTACAACAGTGGGCTCTAATATACATACTGTTGTGGGGATGGCACAGGATTGAACAGTGTATATTTCTGTTTTACGTAGTGTCACTGTGAGTCAGAATCAACTCAGTGGCACCTAACAACAACAACTCATTAAAACTGGATATGTTACCAGTACAGTTACAGTTGAGTCAGTTTGACTTATGATGATCCTATTTGTGTCAGATAGAATTGTGCTCCATAGGGTTTTCAATGGCTGATTTTTCAGAAGTGGATCACCAGGCCTTTTGTCTAAGGTACCTCTTAGTGGACTTGAACCTCTACCCTTTGGTTAGCAGGCAAGCATGTTAACTACTTGTACCCCAGTGGACTTCTACTGGATATGTTAAGGCTTCCTAAATGACCAACAGATAAAAGATTTACTATTTTCTTAGGCATTTCCCAATTAGACAAACTATTTTGTTTTCCATAGCACTTTATACTTGGTTTGTAGGACTTACCGTAACCAGTTGGCTTGTGTCTGGTTCCTTCACTACTTTGTGAATTTTACCTTGTTTTTTGGTGCATAGTGTAAAACTGAGTAACAACAAAATGGTTACTTAAATGTAAAATAGAGTTAAATTTTTATCTCATTTTTCAACTTACTAATATTAGGAAGTACCCTTTAATCATCTTTAGCCTTAGGGCACAAGTGAAAAATAAAAATAAACATAATAATTATCAGGAAAAAATAGAATGGAGAGATGAAAAGAGAAAGTGGTAATAACATTGACTGCCTCTGCCTTTATGTTCATCACACCTCGTAGAGGATACAACAAGTTAATAAATTTGTGGTCTCAGGAAGATCAAGTAGCTCCAAAAAGATAACAATCTCTATTTTTTTTTTTCTACATATTGTCTACCACTTCCTAAGTGTGCAATCAACAAAAACATCTCAATAATCTAAACATATATACTCAGTCATTCATTCACCATTTTTATACTGTGTCAGACACTTAGATACTTTTGGAGAAAACTGAATAAAGTCTGCTATTTGGCCTTAAAGACTTTACCTTCTAGTGGAGAGAGACATACAGCTAAATACAAAATAATATAGTAAAGATACAGGCACACCAATGAGGGATTGATTATTCTTCCTGAGAGTCTTAAGAGAAATAATTTGAAGAGTTTAGAAACTTGAACTGGCTGTACTTTCGTAATGATACAGCCTCGGAAACCCAAGGAGGGGGTTGCTATGAGTTGGATCCAACTCAGTGGCAGTGAGTTTTTAAGAGAGTAACTAAGTTTAGTTCTCCTAAAGAGTATTGCCCTATTTGTATCAGTTTGGCCCTTTACTGTTTTGTTTCCTTAAGATAAACATGTTTCAGATTTATATGAATATAATTTTAATGATTGTACGTATATTTCAAAGATTGTAAGTTTGATATGATGCTATGGTTGAATTTGTACTATTTCAGTTTATATCCCATCTCAGATAAGTAGTCTTGAGCATTCCATGACACTAAGCTGAGAAGAATAAAGTAGAGTAATAGGAAAAACCTGGATCTCTGATGACATCTGGTGCCACAGAATCAATGAACCCTGACATAAGCTTCCTGATTTCAGAATTTCTTGTTAATATGCTTGTGCTGCTATAACAGAAATACCACAAATGAATGGCTTTAACAAATAAGAGATTTATTTTGTTACAGTTTAGGAGGCTAGAAGTCCAAAATCAGAGAGCTGGCTCTGTGGGAAGGCTTTCTCTTTATATATAATTTAGAGTGCAGCTCTAGGAGGCCCAGAGTTCCTTAGAGATCTCCATGTGTCTTGGCATCAGTCTTCCCTGGGTGTAGGAGGTTCTCAGTGCAAAGACGCCAGATCAAAAGAATGTGCTCTACTTTCAACTCTTCTTTCTTGGTAGTAAAGAGCTCTCTCTTCTCTCTACTCCTCTCTCCTTTTGTCTCTTGTAAGATAAAAAGTATAACTCAAGTAAGGTGTGACTTGAGTAAGGGAATGATTGAGTCACACCTTCTTGTAAGGCTGTGACTCAAGACACAATCCACATTGATCCTGCCCCATTAAAATACAGAGGTTAGGATTTACAGCACGTCACAAAATGGAAAATAATTCACAAAATACGGGATAACCACGTAATACTGGGAATCATGGTTGACACACATTGTTAGGGGATACAGTTTAATCTGTAACAGTGCTGTAAGAAGTTAACTTAGCTTCAGGTTATTCTTTACTTGAAGTCAATAGCATACTAAGTGGAACTAAATTTGGTACTTGGAAAGGGATAGTTGCAAATAAGAGATCTAAAATCTGGATTTAACTCTTCGGAGGAGGGCGGTAAGGACCCACACTGTTCTCAGATGGGAAGTTGGTTGATATGATTTATACCATGGGGCACAGATCATGTGCTTCAGGAGGCTGTAGGTACGTGGGAAATTGTACAAAAAAATTTAGAATATTAGGGTGTTTTGGCCATTTTCTGGTTAGATCCAAGAGATCTTTTTAAAATCAGAGAAAATTCAAATTCAATAAGAAAGATTTTTCCTACTTGTGGCCTGGGTTCTCAGTCCACTTTTGCAAGATTAGCTTGAAATAGAGAATTCATCTTTTCCAAAGGTAGTGTAAATATGAGTTTTTAGGGATCTAACAGCAGTTACTTATACAGCAAAATATAAATATGTTGCCTTTGACTTCTCCCATATACTTCCTTTTAAGCATCTTCTGCCAATAAAGAAACTAGTCAAGTTTATACAATAAAGATGTATCTTAGTAAGCAGAAATTAAGGGAATTGGTTAAAACTAGACCAATCTTACAAGAGATGCTAAAGGGAGTCCTTTGGACAGAGAACCAACAACAGCAAACAACAACTGACCATTAACATACATGATGACATAACCTAGAAACCAACCCAGTTATGGAAGTATCCAAAGTAAAACAAGCTGACAAGATTGTAAACAGGGAACCAAAGATATCAATTGGTAAACGAGGACAACTGCAAACCAAAAAGAGGGAAAAAACTGTGTAGTTACAGAACTTCTAAATGGTAAGGAAGTCAAGACAATTCAAGATACAATGGACTATTTTAAACTTGGGAAGAAAATTATAAATCACAGGGTAACCTCAAAGAAAAACTTCACATCAAAATAAAGAAGAGGACAAGCACAGATATTTAGCAAATACTAAAAGAATAGCAATGAAGGAAATGATAATACAATTCATAAACAAAATTAGCTCAGCACAGAAAATTATAAGGAACAAAGAAACCAGAAACACTAAGAGAAAACATACAACAAAAGATAGCAACAAATTGATACTTGTCAAATACTATCCAACACTAAAGAATCTACAAAACATGAATCTACAAAACACAACATCATGTGGATGACATTAGAGAACATTATGCTGAGTGAAATAAGTCAGTCACAGAAAGACAGATAACTTTATTAATTCATTATTGTAAAGAGTCAAAGAAAGGTTTATATATAGAAGGAAACTTTCTTTGTTGGTTACCAGGGATGAGAGGGTACGGAGGGAACACTTCTTGATAGGTAGAGACAAGTATTGATTTGGGTGAAGGGAAGGGCA